CCTTTCAAAGTGGCTTTTTATTGGAAAATATTTAGGCATTATTGAGTTTAAAGATCATGATATAGGTCTAGTCAGCATGCTGTTTTTTTGCTGTAAAATCTGGCATAATTTATAGATGACCAAATTGGTTGAAAGAATAGGCCATTGTTATAATACTTTTGACCTGTTATTTACCCCATTTATTAGACATAGTACATTATAGATAGAAATTAAATAATCCATTAAGAAATATCAAAAGGAAGGATTAAAAAAGGAGAGAGAGTTTTAGATTGTTCTTACATTTTAGAAATAGAAAAAAAAAAAAGCTTTTCCCTTAAATGTGTGTATGTGTGTACACAGGAAGATGAAACATTATGGCACAAAACAAAACAAAAAACTCCACAAACTCACTGCCATCAAGTCGATTCTGGCACATAGTGACCCTGTAGGACAGAGTAGAACTGCCCCAGAAGGTTTCCAAAGCTATAATCTTATGAAGCAGACAGCCTCATCTTCCTCCTGAAGAGTGGCTGGTGGTTCAAACCACCAATTTTTGGGTTAGCAGCCAAGTGCTTAACCACTGTGCCACCAGCACTCCTCTGATGGCACAAAAATAGAGATCAGTGTGTGTGGGGGAACCCAAAACTTTAATGACTTTTTTTTTTTTTTTTTTTTTTACTTGTTAACTTTTATTGTGTATACCTGGCAGATTCTAAAGAACCATAGATTTAAGAAGTAAAATATGTTCAAAATGTAATCTTTAGTGTTTTCACATTTATTACTTGGCAAATTTATATAGAGAAAGAGAAACATGACCATCTGCTCATGTCACCAGTTACTCATAGACAACAGTGGACAGCTGTCCATTTGGTTGGCAATAAAATTTTGCTCTCTTTTTTGGCTTAATTACATTGTATTTGCTTAGACATTACCTAATCCTTTTCAACTTTATTTACCATCAGAGAAAGAAAATATCATTTCCAATACTAGAATTTATTTGTAGTATGTATTTGCTCATCTAGAATACCATTATTACCAGAAAATAAACTTCAGTAAGACCAGTATGCTAGTCTTTCTCCCTGGATGAACCTTGAAATGCATCTTCCAAAGTCACAATTTGCAAGGAAAAATTGTAGACAAAGTTGTGTGTGGACAGCCTTTGTAGCTTAAGAGAAGGACATAAGAGCCCTAAATATTATTGTATGTCTAATAGAGCCATAGAGGAATATTTTGAAGACTGGAGAATATGCAAGAGAACCATTCTACTGATGAGCTTTAGAGTCTTTGATTTATTTATTTAATTATTTATTTTTATATATCTCTATCTGTCTACCAGTCTATCTCTATAAGGAGCTCTGGTGGCATAGTGCCTAAGGCATTTGACTGCTAACCAGAATGCTGGTGGTTCAAACACACCAGCCACTCCATGGAAGGAAGACTGGGCAATCTACTTCCGTAAAGATTTACCACCTAAGGAAAGGATCAGATCTGGAGATCCTGGATAGAGTGGGAGGGAAAATTTAGAACAAACTCCAAAAACTCAAATAATGACCAGAATTACTGGTCAGAAGAAATCTGGTGAGACTCCCTATACTATGGCCCTGGAATACATTCTGTGCCTAGAATAAAACTCACCCCCAGGGGTGGGCTCTCAGCCCAATAGTTAACAAGATGTACACGTAGACCACTCAACCCAGGATGACACACCCACATACTCTATGATAATACATCCCTTAGAGCAATAGACCATGGGACACCAGAGGACCAACATTCAAATTGAGGAAATATAGGACAAATGTTGTTGTTGTTGTTGTTTGCCGTGTAGTCGGCCCCGACTCATAGCAACCCCTCCTTGGGTTTCCAAGGCAGTATCACTACTGCCTTCAAGGAGATGGATTGATACGGTGGCTGTGATGATGGGCTCAAGTATAGCGGGGATTGTGGGGCTGGCACGGGATCGGGCAGTGTTTTGTTCTGCTGTGCATGGGGTCACTATGAGTTGGAAACGACTCGACAGAACTTAACAACAACAAGAACAACATCACTACGGAAGTAGGATTGCCCAACCTTCCTTCCGAGGAGTGGCTGGTGGGTTTGAATAGGACAAATAGGAGTGCATAAATATGAGAGGCACAGGGGAAGGGTTACAGGGAGGGGAGGAGACTGGGTTAGGGTTGGACATGGCGATTGGGGAATGAAATTAAATGTACATGTTACATTGAATGTAAAACAAGCTCTTAAAATAAAAAATAAATAATAAATAATAAAGATTTACCACCTCAGAAACTCTAAAGCGGTCACTGTGAGTCTGAATCAACTCAATGGCAATGAGTTTGGTTTGGTTTATATATATATATATATATATATATATATATATATATACACACACACACACACACACACACACACACACACACATACATACATACATACATACGTACCCCACAACCGTCAAGTAGTTTCCAACTCACAGCAACCCCCATTGATTTTCCAAGGCTGTAAATCTGTATGGAAGTAGATTGCCTCATCTTTCTCTCATGGAGAAGCTAATGGGTTTGAACTGCTAACCTTCTGGTTAGTAGCTAAATGTCTTATCCCTCTAAGTTGTTGTTATGTTATGTGCTGTCAAGTCAGACCCGACTCATAGCAACCCCTCCTTGGGTTTCCGAGGCAGTATCACTACGGAAGTATATTGCCCCATTTTCCTTCTGAGGAGTGGCTGGTGGGTTTGAACCGCCAGCCTTCTGGTTAGCAGTCAAGTGCCTTAGCCACTATGCTACCAGAGCTCCCAATAAGAGGAAAAGGGAAATGAGATTCCATTAAGAAACATACCTCTTTATCCCATAGAGACTGGAATTGCCCAGGAATGGGAACCGCAGCAAAGGGGGAGGTTGAGGCGCTGAACACGGGATGGTTTGAAATTGTACCCAAAGTACTATTTGACTTCAAGTGCACAAAATTTCAGACAACTAATTTTTCCTACCCCTGAGGGTGACTCCTTCTCTGGAAAAACCTCTCGGGAGCCAGAGAGGCTCCAGTCTTGGGACTCCCAGTTAGGAGAATAGGAATCAGTTGCTATATGAAAAGAAGATACATCAAATTAAAGATTGCATGCTGCTGATGAAACTGGCCTCAGTGCTTGTAAAGCCAATTGCTAGGTTCATATCTCCAGTCAGGAAACTGGAGAAACAACTTTACTGACATTTATGTTTCTTGGTTAAAAACACTGGTGGGCCACCTGATGATTTTAAAGTAAAACTCAGCAGCTTACATCTACCACTATCCACAAAAATAGGACTTTTAAGCAGTGTTTTAGTGCTGTAGGCTTAAATATGAATTAACAGCTTATGATTGCTAGGCATTTAAGGGAAGTGAATAATACAAAAGATCTAGTATGCTTTCTTTAAGGGCTGACAAGAAAGACCAGAGACTACATTGCTTTATATAAGAGTCTGTGGAAAAGGAGGCAAAAATTGGGAAGTGTCCCTGAATCTCAACTTGTGTATGCAATTTCCTGTAGAAATAGGTTCTGTATTACCATTAATATTTTGCACTTAATCATTATTATCTCTTTACTTGGTTACTTGTTTATGATGTAGCACAATGGCCCATAAACTTTATCTATCAGAGTTATTAATAAATATTTTAGGCTCTGCACCCTCTGAGGCAACTACTCAAGTCTCCCATTGTAACACAAAAGCAGCCATAGACATATAGACAGATGGACATAAAACATATGTAAACAAATGGGTGTGGTTATGTTCCAATAAACTTTATGTACTAAAATAGATTGTGCAAATGATGCAGGACCTGGCAGTGTTTTGTTCTATTGTTCATTGGATCTCTGTGAGTTAAACTGACTTGACAGCACGAAGAATACTAAAAGTACCATGGACTGCCAAGAACAACTAACAAATCTGCCTTGGAAGAAGTGTAACTAGAATGCTTCTTGGAAGCAAGAATGGCCAGACTTCATCTCACCTACTTTGGTCATGTTGTCAGAAGGGACCATTTCCTGGAGAAGGATATCATGCTTGGTAAAGTAGAAGTTCAGCGAAAAAGGGAAGGCCCTCAACGAGATGGATTGGTACAGTGGCTGCAACCATAGGCTTGGGTATAGAGAGGATTGTGAGGCCGGCACAGGACCAGGCAGTGTTTCGTTTTGTTGTACATAGGGTCGCTATATACAACTTGACAGCACCTAATAGCAACAACAGTAAGATGATGGATGGGTCCGTTTTGATCCCCAGGTTGTAGTTTGCCAAGCTTTGGTCTAACCACATAGCGGATATTAGGTCTATGAGAGCCAAAACCAAAAACTAAACTCAATGTTGTTGAGTTGATTCTGACTCATAGTAATCCTATAGGACAGAGTAGCACTGTGCCATACAGTTTCTATGGCTGCAAATCTTTCCAAAACCAGACTGTCATATCTTTCTCTTGTGGAGTGGCTGGTGGATTTGAACTGCTTTTGGTTGGCATCCAAGTGCTTTAACCACTGCACTACCAGGGTCAGTTTGCCATATCACTTGTACTGTGTAGAGAAAATATAAAATGAATATAGTTTGAATGAGTTGAAAAATCTGTACTATGCTCTTCAGGATTTTGTGGACTTCCTCAGGTGGGTATTATGTCCCTTTTGAAGCCGGGTTTGTTTGTTTTTTGTTGTTTCATATATTTTGCTCTTAAAAGAACATTTACTATAACCTACTAAAGCTAAAGAATGACAGTATTCCAAATAGTACTGTGAAAGAGTGCCTGCTAGAGTAATTTACTGCTCTTGTATAAGAAAGGTACTTCTACAGCTTTTCTTACTTCTCCTGAAATTTGTAAAATGAAGACTACTTGGCAGATAAAAAATACTGTTAATTGTTGAACCAACACTAGATCCCAAGCTCCCTTAAATATGAATTGGACTTCTTCACTGTTATACTTTTGTATGTTTGAATACCTTGTTGTTAGGTTTTCAAGCTTCTTTTATGTTTAATGCCTTTACAATTGTCATTACTTTCATTTTACAGTAAACCTATGATGGACTTGTTGATATTCCTCTGTGGACAGTATCACTTAAATCCATCAAGCTACACAATTGATCTGCTGTCAGCTGAAAAGCGCCCCATTAAATTTAAACCAAATACACCAATAGGAATGTTGGAAGTGGAGAAGGTAATTTTAAAACCAAAAGTTTTGGATAAGAAAAAACCTACACCTATAATACCAGAGGTAAGTATATCACTGAAGATTTTGATACCATGCAGCTAAAATATTAAGTTGATTTTTCCAGTCATTTGCATTTCATTATAAATGAATCAAAAATTGATTTTCTTGGTCAAATTTTATGTGAACAACATGATTTCCTAGGCCTCCTTCTTTAGGAGGTAGTAGGTTGTTGATCCTTGGATTAACTAGCATGTTCTGGAATATTTTAGATTTTAGATGACTCTAATGAAGATGGGGCAATCTACTTCCGTAGTGATACTGCCTCGGAAACCCAAGGAGGGGTCACTATGAGTCGAGTACGACTTGACGGTACATAACATCAACAATGGGATCTGTATAACTGTCTCAGAGCCTGACAATTATGGATGACTATATTTTAAGCTATTCATTAAAAAGAAAAAAAAAATAAAGGAAGGTTCTCAAATTTTTAAGTGAAAATTCATGTAATTTTTTGTTTGTTTGTTTCTCTATACTTGGTAAACTCTGATGATAACCAGGGCTTCAAACCGGTTCTTCTCAGCCCACTCATGGCAGATGAAGTGAATCTTGGTGGCATTGGAATTTGCAAAATGTGGATGCCTGGAATGATAACTAGAATGGGAAAACTATGGATCAGTGCCCTTCTAGAAATGTAATCTCCCTCTTAGCAAACAAGGGCAGCGTGCATGTTGCATAACAACCAAATCTCTTGACTGACAGAGTCAGAACAGAATGCTGCTCAAAGATGGCAAGTGACCATGCTGCTTTGGCTTTGAATGTGTGTTACTTTCCACAGTGCTGGCAACAATCCAGTCTTCTGTATCAGACTCCTGGAAGGGCTCCTTACACCTCTTCTGAGTCTCCTGTTCCCGAGCTTCAACCATATTATTTCTCATTCTGGTTGTCTTTCTAGGCATCCACATACTGCAAATTTGGCTCTGTCTCAGTTTTGCTTCATTGCCCATGACTGAACCAGATCAAACTTGTTTGAAGCTCTGACTAAAACTTACTAACTTCTAAATGACTGTTCATTTGAACTATACAATTTTTCAGTTCTCTTTAATGTATAAATTTTAAGCAAAAATGTTCAGCCCCATGGAGTCTAATATCATCAATTCTTTCTCTCTAAAATTTCTCAGTTGCCATAGAAAATAAACATAGAAGTCTGTGGGCTTAAAGAAATAATCTTATTATGAAAAAAAATCATTTTTCATTTAATAAAATATAGAAATTTTGTGTATTAAATTGATAGTTTATTTACATACAAGTTAGAGTACATATATTCTTATTTTTCTTCCTATTACATATATATATTTTTTACAAAAGGGCTGACAGTTTTCTTGTCTTTTTTTACTATATTAAAACATTTGCTTCCTTCAGTGTGCTAGTAAGTATTAATTAGGAAAAAATACAATATCTCATGTGAAATCAAAATAAAACCAAAATACACAATTAAAAAAATGTATTAACTAGATATTGGTGTGTTTTCCCTTTAGATTAGTACACTGTGTCCAGGTGGAAATAGTTTTACTAATGCTGTAGCATGGGATTATATGTAGGGTTTTGGCTTTATAAATAAATGTTCAGCTTTGAGGATATGTAAATTGTGGATTTCACTTACTACATTTACATTTTTCTAAGTTAAAGCTATATATATAATTTAATTACACTAAATTCATAAAGTTTTTTTCAATAATTTCAAATTAGTAGTATGAGATAAATAAGAATTATGTTAATATTCTGTACTATTATATCAAAATTAGACAAAGTACTTAAGGTAGTAATAATAATGTTCACTGATAAATTCCTATTTGCCAGACACTACTAAGCCATTTGTATTGATTAAACATTTGTCATGTTTCAAACAGGAACACAAATATTTTAGTGGTTTAACAAAGATACCATTTTTTTCCCATTACAACAGCTGAAAGCCCATTAGAGAATGAATAAACATTTCTCATTCTATAAAATGTAGAATAATACATGTGGCGTAGTGCCTAAGGCATTTGACTGCTAACCAGAAGGCTGGTGGTTCAAACCCACCAGCTACTCCTTGGAAGGAAGATTGGGCAATCTACTTCTGTAGAGATACTGCCTCAGAAACCCAACGAGGGGTTGCGGTTGCTATGAATTAGATTCGAGTTGATGGCAGTGTGTTTGGTTCTTTTTTTTTTTTTAATTCTGCATTATTGTGTAGGTTTTTTAATTTTAAAGTAAATATTCTAATGGAAGGACGTTTGGGCAATCTACTTCCATAGTGATGCCACCTCAGAAACCCAAGGAGGGGTTGCTATGAGTTGGGTTCGACTCTAAATATTTTTAAAGAGTAACACTTAAAAATTGGTAGTCCTACTATGAAACTTTGTATTTTTTTTAATTTATAAATGTACTTAATACTATACTTTATTAATATCACATTACAGCTGGATTCAGAAAAGGAGGTGGAATGAGGGATATCATTGTTGATATCAGATGAAACTTGGTTAAAAGCAGAGAATACTAGAAAGATATTTACTTGTTTTTTTATTGTCTATGTAAAAGCATTTGACTACATGGATCACAGCAAATCATGGATAACATTGTAAAGAATGGGAATTCCAGAACACATAATTGTTCTCATGTGGAACCTGTGCATAGACCAAGAGGCAGTAATTTGAAGAGAGCAAAGGGATGCTGTGTCGTTTAAAATCAGGAAAGATATGTGTCAGGGTTGTATCTTTTCACCATATATATTCAGTGTGTATGCTGAGCAAATAATCCGAGAAGCTGGACTACATGAAGATGAACATGACATTAAAATTGAAGGAAGACTCATTACCAACTTGTGATATGTAGATGACACAACCTTGCATGCTGAAAGTGAAGAGGACTTGAAGTACTTACTGATGAAGATCAAAGACTATTACCTTCAGTATGGATTGTTGTTGTTGTTATGTGCCATCGAGTTGGACCCAACTCATAGCGACCCCTCCTTGGGTTTTCGAGGCAGTGTCACTACAGAAGTAGATTGCCGAACTTTCCTTCTGAGGAGTGGCTGGTGGGTTTGAACCACCAGCCTTCTGGTTAGCAGTCAAATGCCTTAGGCACTATGCTACCAGAGCTCCTCCTTCAGTATGTGAAATCTTTGACAACTTCAATATTTTCTCTGTTTATCATGATGTTGCTTATTGGATTACTCTTCAATAAAAATCTTCACAATTTGACCAATAAGCAACATCATGATAAACAGAGAAAATATCGAAGTTGTCAAAGATTTTACATTATTTAGCTTCACAGTCAATGCCCATGGGAGCAGCAGTCAAGAAACCTAATGACATATTTCATTGGGGAAAACTGCTGCAAAAGACCTCTTTAAAGTGTCAGAAAGATGTCACTTTGAGAACGTTGGTGCATCTGACCCTAAGATGCATAATCATCTCATATGCATGAGAAAGCTGGACAATGAATAAGGAAGACAGAAGGAGAAATTTGATGCATTTGAATTATGATATTGGCAAAGGATATTGAATGTACCATGAACTGCCAGAAGAATGAACAAATCTGTGTTGGCAGAAGTACAACCACTATGCTCCTTAGAAGTGAGGATAGTGAGACTTCATTTCATATACCTTGGATATGTCATCAGGAGGGGTCAGTCCCTGAAAAAGGATATCCTGCTGAGTAAAGTAGAGGGTCAGTGAGAAAGAGGGAGACCTTGAACGAGGTGTATTGACATAGTGACAGTAATAATGAGTTCAAGCATAGCAATGATTGTAAGGATGGCACAGGAACAGGCAGTGTTTTGTTGTGTTGTATGTGGGGTCTCTGTGAATCAGAAACAACTCAGCAGCACCTGAGTACAATGATTGTTTACCACACAGTGGTTGTGAATGTAATCTAAATTATTTGATTAAGCTCACTAATAATGTTTGTTTCTAAGAATTTATTTTGGATTTAGGAAATAATCAAAAAATATTTACACCAAGCTATAAAAGTACAATATCTTTATTGTACAAATACATAATTGTTTATTGTCTCATTCTTCTAGACAGTATTGTAAAATGTCAGTTTGTGTTAATAAATATGATGTAACTATAGTTTTAATCTGTTTTTCAGAAAACTGTGAGAGTAGTGATCAATTTTAAGAAAACACAGAAGACAATAGTGAGAGTTAGTCCACATATATCACTTCAAGAACTTGTCCCTGTTATAAGCAGCAAATGTGAGTTTGATCCATTACATACAGTGCTGTTGAAGGATTATCAGTCTCAGGAGCCCCTTGACTTGACAAAATCCCTTAATGACCTGGGTCTAAGAGAATTATATGCCATGGATGTCAGCAGAGGTAATAAATGCTTTTTGTTTTATTCATTTATGTATTGTATATATGTACATGTATGTGTGGTTATAATATAGTTCTTAATTGCAAATTCATGCATTCATAGACAGATGTAAGCACGTGTTGGGAATAAGAAAAAAGACATGTAAGAAAATTCAACTCAATTTCACTTTATGAAATTAGGATGAAAGCTTGTCTTTCTTATCTGTCATCACACTTTACATTTTCCCATCTACCTATACATTTTTTTTGTGTGTGTGAAATTTAGTTTTTGTGGCTTTGCACATTAAATAGAAATATAAATTTCCATGTTGTAAATTCTTTATTCCTCCAATCCAGCACGAATAACTATTGACTGTAGTTTATCTGAGTCTTAATTACCATTCAAGTTTGGAAGCTTCTTACCTTTTGTTGTTGTTGTTGTTGTTAAAGTCAACACCCAAAATAAACTGGCTTATACAATGGATCAGTCTAATCCAAAAGTATTCTAAAGAAAAATAGCTGGAAGTTTGAATCTATGGAAAATAATTTAACATATTAAAATTTAGAGATCTTAGAGGATGTTGGTTTTGTGGTATCTAATGGGATCTCTGGTGGCACAAGGTGCCTAAGGCATTTGACTGCTAACCAGAAGGCCGGCGGTTCAAACCCACCAGCTACTCTTCAGAAGGAAGATTGAGCAATCTACTTCCATAGACATGTCTCAGAAACCCAAGGAGGGGATTGTTATGAGTCAAGTTGACTTGACAGCAGTGAGTTTGGTTTGAGCTTAATAGATAACACAAGTATGCTACACTAGGAGAAATAAAAGTTTAGTGAATGAGGCAATTACTTATATACTCTATGCATAGAAACTTCAAACTTGATCTGAGTTTATGGCTTTATGTGATACACACACTACTTTTACAACTCAGTGATGTTTTATAGTGAGCAAACATCATTGCTACAGTCAGTTTACCCTCTTTTACCCCCTCCTTCTATAGACACTTCTGTTACTGACTTCAATAAATCATCTTTACAAGGTAAGACACATGAATCAGTTGCAACAAATTGTGGCATTAAATCTCTATTTGTATTGGGTAAATTGAAAATAAACTTCTAATTTTACTGTTTTTATAGCAATACTAACTTGTATATTCTGTGAGAGATTTTAATTTACAAAAATCTTTGGGTTTTATTTCCTAGAAAATAATTTATAGGTTACCCCTTGATTTCTGAATTTAATTATTGTAATTACTTTTCAATAATTATTTGAAAATTATATCACTCAAAGAATATGCAAAAACTGAAAAAATTATTCTGCTAGGATCTTAAGTAGGTACACATGCTAATAGTTTAGTGGTACTATGGAAGAGTCTCAGGTTATTTCCATTGAACAGTTATTTATAATAATCATAGCATATTCATCATACAAAGTGATCACAGCCATTAAATTGTATGTAAATAATTTGTATTAACATGTAAACATGCTTATGCCAAAACAATCTTTTAAAGCATGCGAAGAGGTCTAATACAGTATGTAAAAATTCTTATATAAAATTTGTGAAAGGAAATACAGCAAAATTTTAATAGTGGTTATTTCTGGGGATAGAACTATGGGTCATTTTCTCCCACCCTTCTTTATATTACAGAATTTTGTAATAGGCAAAGGGAGGAAAACTCTATTAAAAACTATAATAATTATAAACTCTGGATGACTTTCTCCCCATTACAAAGGGATGGGCTCTGATAATTGATTACTGTAATAATTACTGCCCTACTAAAAAGAGCTTAAATTGTATACATTATGTATTATTAGAATTTTCTTTATTACTTCCAATCTACCTATACATTTTTTGTGTGTGTGAAATTACTTCCAATTCTTCTAAAGTAAGCCTTTCAATTCTAAGAATTATAGACACATAAGTAATAATATGATTATTTATGATTGGTGACTATAATGAAGACTAGTTTAATTAAAACCAAAACCAAAAACTAAACCCACTGCCCTTGAGTCTATCCTGACTCATACCAATGAGGACAGAGTAGATCTGCCCCGTAGGGTTTCCAAGGTTGCAAATCTTTCCAGAAGCAGCCTGGCTCATCTTTCTCCCATGGAGTGGCTGGTTGGTTTGAACCACCAATGTATTAGTTAGCAACCAAATACTTTAACCACTGTGCTGCCAAAGCTCCTTGGCTAATTAAAGGAGTTAAATATCCTTACAGTATTAAAATGCATGTTGGTTAAGAGTCACATACAAGCATTTTAATTCCAACATTGCATTAGATGTCAAGCTAATTGGCAAACTGATTGGCCGAATGGCTGTATCTGTCCTTCTATAATAATAAAGGGGGATTGTAAAAAGTGGTCTGTGTTCTTTCAACATCAACATTCTGTTACTCCTGCTTACCTTTTGCTCCCAATTTCACCCGTCTCTAAAATATGGAACCCTAAGCAAATCCTGTAATCTCTTTGGCATCATTTGAGGGTGTTTGTATGCATTGATTTCTAAGACCCTTTCAGCCACAGAGTACGTGGTTTATTCAGAGTATGAAATATTCTGAACTGAACCTTGAGAGATTAGTAAAGTCAAGAAAGTCTCCTTTACGATATCAGAAGCTACATGGTCAGTTCTTATGCTGCAAATGCCTCATCCTCTTATTTTATCAGAAAGTTTACGTAATACTCAAAACTTTGCACGTGATTTTTAGCCTGACTTCTCGAAACAGGAGACTACTGTGTTTGAGTTGATTTTCCAAGTTAGCTCAAGCCCTCTGTAATCTTACTGTTTAACACTGAGTTGTTGTGATCCCTGACAATAGAGCATTAAGTGAAAACTGAGAGGCTGACTAGTGCCTGGAAACTGCTTTACCTAAAATAACTACATGAAATACTCTAGTTATATTTATTGTACTGTGCCACTGTGGGTTCCAACCAAATTTAATTGTATATCTACATTTCACTAGTGGGGCATTAAACTGTGTACATGCACATATGTGTGTGCATACACACACAGGTTATCCCTCTAAATCCTGAGCAATCGTGAGACTGTTAGCATAAGGACTGTACTCTCTGATTTGGTTGGATCATACACAGAAGACCCACAGTGTCAGTAATTGAAAGCTGTTATTATTTTTTATAGAAGTTAAACAGTAAATAACAAAAACAGATTAGTCAAAAAAGGCAAACAGTAAACAACAGGCATAGATGTGTGGTGAACAGGGACCCAAATTACAAACGTCCATTTCTGTGTCATGGGTGAGTATGCCATGGACCAGAAGTCAGCTGATAACTCTCTCTTTCTCTGTCAGCAAGTATGTCATCAGATCTGGTTGGTGTGATATGGCTGTTTGTTCTCTCTCTACCCCTCCCTCCCTCTCTCTCTCCCTCCCTCCCCCTA